ATAAACATGCAGCATTCCGTTTTACCGCTAGTGGCGTGAAATCACTTGATAACAGAAAGAACACAAGACGTTACAACAAAGGAAGGCATACCGGCGGGTTAAGACTGGTAGTCGTTTCCACGCCACGTGCAACATCCGAACGAACACTAGTACTGGAGATGAGAGGTCGCGTGAACGAGCTAACGCTAACAGTGGGGCGAACGGTTGTGGTAGCAGATATTACGGGGTCCGTCGATGATGCACGGGTGGTCGTCACATTAGCACCCGTTTCGGCTGTTTGTCGTGCGGAAACAGCGGCGTGGATATCCTCAGCCAAGACTGGGCCAGTACCACGACGATTCGATCGAGATACAGATAAGCCCTGCACAAACACGATCAGCTTAACATCTGATAGTGAAATTAAGTAAGAAAAAAAAGAACTGAAAGGTGTAGAAAACAATGACACGTGACAAATCATGCTAAAATTCTAATAAACACACTTAACAAAACAAAACAATAATAAATTCGTTTAAGTAGCTGTGGTATGATCGTTTGGGCCATTTTTCTGACTACCCTCAAAATTGTTTTGCATTTAAGGTTTGCAGTAGTTGATAAAGAAAATGAATTGATTCACACACAACCGTAACCTTCAAAAAGCAGCTAGTAGTACGCATCCATACTCTAATCAAACTCGTATGTAAAAATACAATCTGTTTCAATCAGCAAACTTTCGAGCACTAAGCCCATCGAAGTTATAGCCAAAAAAGCAAACATTCTTCTATACCAAAAGCCCTCTTCTTTCTCAGTAACGTCACTGTTGCACTCTACACTTAAGCAGACTGTAAAGTAACGTTCGCAGCTGCTATGACAACAAAGCATCTTCTCTTCACATCACGGAAAGCCAAGCACTCAATGAAAAGTTCCTAGGTAAGCCTATGCGTAATCTCGTTCGGTTTTAGCCAAACATTCAAAGTATATGCGAAGTATAAAGTATAAGTATAAAGTATATTTCCATACTACAACACAAAAGATTGAAAACCTCAAAAAACTTAACTTTGGAAGCAATTTTCAAATCAATAAAATGCCGTAATTGTAACACAATTCTTCTTGCCAACCTGACTCTTCCTTCGGATACCAAGTACTGGAGGATTCGCGGCCGTGGTAGTCGGCAATGATAAAGGAACGGTAGGAGCCGTCGGCGATGCCGTAGTTGTTATTGGGGGAGCACGTTCATCGCTGGAGCGATCCATCGACTCCGTGGACTCTGAATGTATATCAAATTATTTGCAGTAACAGAACAACAATAACTTATAATGCGCAGTCGACGCAAACCGTAAAGAAAAGCCGAAGCACAAAAGCATGAGCATAAACTCCTTTTCGCGAAAGATTTGCGACCGGAGCTCAGACATATTTGAAAGCAATTGTTAAAGAGACTCGTATGAAATTTCGATTCCAAAGGAAAAACACAAAAGAAACTTAAAGTTTCAAAGGAATGTATATTTAACCTCAGCTGAAACATCGAACGTAAACAAATAAAATATTTCTTGAAGACCGAACACAATTATGCCCAAACCATCTATGAGTGCTTCACATATTCTATTATAGCCTACATATGAGGATGACTCATGGATGCTGGTATTTGATGATGGAATGACATATAGCAAGAAAAGAATCTAGTGACTGTACCTTTGCTTGCGCTTCCTCGTCGATTCGCAGAGCTATCAACAGAACTTCTCTCGGTGCTAGCAGAACTTCGATCAGAACATACGGATGTAGAATCACGTTCTTCCGACGCTAGCCTCGCGATCCCCTGGGAAAAAAATCATCGCAACGGGAACAAAGACAAATGAGCTTAAGAAAGATTTTAGAACGTTATATCACAGAACAGCATAATGCAAGAAAACGAAAAATGCGTACTGGTTCCCGAGTATTAGTAGAGCCCGATGTGTTGGAGGTAGCGGTTTGTGAGGTCGCTGATCCTCGTCTTCGAGCAGCTTCAGCAATCGCGATTCGGCTAGCTTCTTCGAGATGTTCCTAGATTTCACTCGCTTTGAGTAGATGTTACAAGAAAATACCCGAACTAGTTGACAGAACCACTAGTTCAAAACCCCTGACTAATCGCCACTTTTCCGAACAAGAAAAAATTTGTAAAATCCCAT